GGCGGTATATATACTGGAATTTTTATTTTAATATTAATTTTTTTTCCATAAATAGAGCTGTCTTTCAGTGTTATTTGATCGCCTGTGCGTTTTTTGATTTTTGGCAACCAACAATTTTGAAAAAAAAAAAAAAAATATAATATATATATATATATATATATATATATATATATATAGACTTTTTACTATACTATAAGCATATCCAATAAAAAAAACTTTTAAAAAAATCTAATTTCGTCATAAATTTTGGCTAAAATGTATTCTAGTGCATGTCTTTGCTAAAAAAAATAAAAAAAATAAAAAAAAAAAAAGAATCCCAATAAGTGTGTATTAATTGAAAGTTATATCATGTACAAATGGCGGTATAGATACTGGAATTTTTATTTTCATTTTTTTTATAGTAATGGTGGCAACCAGCGACATCCCCAGTGACACCAATACAGTGATCAGTGCTAATAAAAAGCACTGACACTGTACTAATGACACTGGGCAGGAAGGGGTTAACAGTGTGCTGTGTGTGTTTTACTAGGGAGAGAAGCTGTGCAGAGAAATACACAGCAGCATGTCCTTGCTGGCAGGAGAGAGCTGTATTGTTTATATACCGGTCTCTACCCTGTCAGCTTTCCCCGATGATTGCAGGCTGCCGATGGGGAATCTCCAGCCGGGACCTGGTGATTGACATCCCTAGCCGCCAATGGCGCGGGTAGGGCGGCGTGCGTGCTCCCTACCCAGAAATGCAAATCACGTATATATACATGTGACTTTGCGCAGCCCTGCCGCCCTGTAGCAGTATTTCTAATATATGGTGGCAGGAAAGAGGTTAAAATGTAATTCCAGTAAATGTGTAAAATAAAACTGTCACAAGTCAGTCTGCAGTTTCCTCTCTGTGTATTCTTACCTCCTTGCTGCAGTGCTTCTCCTCCCCTGATTCCTGTTATGTGTGGCTTGGCTGTGCTCACCTACGGGCATCGCCTGCTATTCTGTGGGTTTTATGTCCTTCCCTTTCATCACTTCTTGGCCTGCCTCCTAGTTTGCTTTCGTTAGGACAACGGATATACAACAAATTGTACAACAATGTATTCTGCCTAATATTTACCATTTTGCTATAACAATATTTATTAAAGCTGAGTTCATTCAAGTCAAGAGGAACATGGTTTCCTGGGTCACTGGGGAAACTATCTGGTTGGATGGTGCCGTCCCAATATGACTCTGGCAGCCATCTTGGGTCAGTCAGAGCTTATTTAAAGTGTTATTAAATCCTGGACCCTGCATTCACTATATCTGGTCTCCCCGGGACCCTGCATTCACTATATCTGGTCTCCCGGGACCCTGCATTCACTATATCTGGTCTCCCGGGACCCTGCATTCACTATATCTGGTCTCCCCAGACCCTGCATTCACTATATCCGGTCTCCCAGGACCCTGCATTCACTATATCCGGTCTCCCCGGACCCTGCATTCACTATATCCGGTCTCCCCGGGACCCTGCATTCACTATATCCGCTCTCCCCGGACCCCGCATTCACTATATCCGGTCTGCCCGGACCCCGCATTCACTATATCCGCTCTCCCCGGACCCCGCATTCACTATATCCGCTCTCCCCGGACCCTGCATTCACTATATCCGGTCTCCCCGGACCCCGCATTCACCATATCCGGTCTCCCCGGACCCCGCATTCACCATATCCGGTCTCCCCCGACCCCGCATTCACTATATCTGGTCTCCCAGGACCCTGCATTCACTATATCCGGTCTCCCCAGACCCTACATTCACTATATCCGGTCTCCCCGGACCCTGCATTCACTATATCCGCTCTCCCCGGACCCTGCATTCACTATATTCCCCTCTCCCAGGACCCTGCATTCACTATATCCGGTCTCCCTGGACCCTGCATTCACTAGATCCGCTCTCTCACAGTACACAGAACATGGAAATGCAAATATTTTAGTAAATATAAACTGCTAAATACCTTTTCTCATCAGCAGTATAGAGCAGTCTTGTGACTTCTATCAGTGTCCAGCAGAGCATTGGTTAAAGCTTATAGGAGTTTTTATTCTGCTCAAGGAGGATGCAGAACTGCTGACCACTGTTTGGACAGCACTGATTGACCCTGTGCTGATCACATGCACTCTCCCAAGAAGAAAAAAAAAACCTCTCTAGCAATATACACCAAACTGAGCATGTGCAGAATTACTCCACACAAGATGTCTTATCAGGAGTTAAGAGGGGGACACTGGCTGCTGGGGGATCTATTGTCACTGGAGGGGATCTATTTTTGTGTGGAGGTCTATTGTTGCTGGTGGGGGTCTGTCTTTTGTGGGGGGGCAGTGGTTGCTGAAAGGAATCTGAAAGGGTGGGGTCTGTTGTTGCTGGCTGCTGGAGAGTCTATTGATGCTGGCTACTGGGAGATCTTTTGTTGCTGCTGTGGGTCTATTTTTCTGTGGAGGGGTCTATTGCTTTTGGCTGCAGGGGCTTTATTTTACTGCTTTCCTTGGTATCATTAACAAATTCCATACAATTTACTTAGCAGCACATATTGATACTTTGTAAAAGGAGCTGTACTAGGAGGTGGGTAGGGGGTGGAACCAATAGAGGGTGCTCAGAGGTGGAGCCAAGAGATGGTGTTCAGAGGTGGGTAGGGGGTGGAGCAAAGAGATGGTACTCGGAGGTGGGTAGGGGGTGAGCCAAGAGATGGTACTTGGAGGTGGGTAGGGAGTAGAGCCAAGAGACGGTGCTTGGAGGTGGGTAGGGGGTAGAGCCAAGAGACGGTGCTCGGAGGTGGGTAGGGGGTGAGCCAAGAGATGGTGCTTGGAGGTGGGTAGGGGGTAGAGCCAAGAGACGGTGCTCGGAGGTGGGTAGGGGGTGAGCCAAGAGACGGTGCTCGGAGGTGGGTAGGGGGTGAGCCAAGAGACGGTGCTCAGAGGTGGGTAGGGGGTAGAGCCAAGAGACTGTGCTCGGAGGTGGGTAGGTGGTGGAGCCAAGAGATGGTGCTCAGAGGTGGGTAGGTGGTGGAGCCAAGAGATGGTGCTCGGAGGTGGGTAAGGGGTAGAGCCAAGAGACGGTGCTTGGAGGTGGGTAGGGGGTAGAGCCAAGAGACGGTGCTCGGAGGTGGGTAGGGGGTAGAGCCAAGAGATGGTGCTCGGAGGTGGGTAGGGGGTGGAAACCAGGGGTGACTCAGAAGGGGGGAGTTCCTGCGCCTATTCTAAAAAAGCCCTACCTCTGGGTCTGCTCTTCTTCGGTGACGAGAGGTCCAAGTTACCTGCATATATTCATCCCTGCTGGTGCCATATTTATTATCTTCCTCTTTTTCTGAGTCCACTGTCCTAATGCTTCACTCAACGGGTAGGCCATACCTTCCAGTATTTCCATTATCTGAGAACATGGCTCCATTCTCAGCATCTGTAAGATACCAGGGCTATACTCTGCACTGCACATGCTCAGCAGTCAGTGTACAGATTTAATAAAAAAAAAAATGGCTAGTGGGTAAGTAAAAGAATTTATTTTGTCAGAAAATTACTTATAAAGTCTCCTCTACCAAATTTCCCTACTGGCCGGCAATTTATTTTGTTTTCAGGGTCTCTTTGATTTTAAACACTTCTAAGTAGGAAGAACAGCCTGCCTATGTAACTAGCAAATATAACTGCATGTCATGTATATAAGTAATGACAACACGTACAAATGTTTTTTTACAGTAAAAATTTTTATTCAGATGATTAAAAAAAAGCAAAAAACTATCTTGAACACTTATTGGCTTATAAAATTTAAAACTTGAATGAGGTCTCCTAGATTGTAAGCTTCCAGGATCAAGCCCTCCTAACCCTCTTGTATTGAACTGTATTGCTGTATTGTCTCCCTTCATATTGTAAAGTGCTGAGCAAACTGTTGGCACTATATAAATCCTGTATAATAATAAGTCCACTTAGTGTCATTCAGTCTCCTATTTTTCTAAACAGACGTCATATCTGGACCATGGTGGACAGTTCCATCATAGACGTTCCAAGCTGGAAGGTCCCCCTTTCACAATTTCCAGTAATTAGCTGATGCTGTAGGCTCATTTATTCAAGTTTACTGTTTTCAAATAATTTATTTGCACAGGGCTTAGTACATCCCCCATTGAAAATGGGTCGTGGATGGGTGTTCCAGCATGATAATGACCCAAAACACACAGCCAAGGCAACAAAGGAGTGACTCAAGAAGAGGCACATTAAGGTCCTGGAGTGGCCTAGCCAGTCTCCAGACCTTAATCTGATTGGCAACTCGAACTTTCAGCTCCCTCCACAGATTTTCAAATGTCAGCCACCAAATCTTAATGACTTGGAGAGGATCTGCCAAGAGGAGTGGGCCAAAATCCCTCCTGAGATGTGTGCAAACCTGGTGGCCAACTCCAGGAAACGTCTGACCTCTGTGATTGCCAACAAGGGATTTGCCACCAAGTACTAAGTCATGTTTTGTGAAGGAGATCAAATACCTATTTCCATCATGAACATGCAGATCAGTCATCATTTGTTAGACACGCATTTCTGCTGAATTTGTTGTTGCTATTCTGTCTCTCAGTGTTACAATACACCGAACATTCGATTTTTAGACCGATCATTTCTTTGTGAGTGGGCAAACATTCAAAATCAACAGGGGATCAAATGCGCATTTCCTTCACTGTACACCCAATTCTCACATATTTAGCCTTCCTTTGCTTGGTATTATTTCAAGTTTCCCTTATGTCTTCCATTCTCCCTTAGTGTCATTCAAACCTAGGCTTATAAGAGACCACATTACACCAGGAGCACCATCCAATCTTAACATATTTTTTGTTCATGCAAAAGCTCATGGAAAGCAATGGGAAGTGCAATGCTCTTTGATTGTTTCAGTCTCTTCTAGATACAGTACATATCCTTCAGTGTTCTTCTTTACCAGGTTGGGAAATCATATCTGGACTCCGGAGTACAGCCCCATCATAAGAGACAGTCTGGTCAGTCCCACCAACGTGGACATATCCGACCCATTACAGTGACTTCATACATATCCACGACCTTTGTGAAGAGCATTCTAGAGCACCAATCCCACCATTAAAGTATGCACAGTCCATTTGTGGCACATCATGCCTGTAAGTAAAGAGAACAAGTAATTGTAGATTTACAGTAGACTTAACACAATGCCATTTACTATAAAGAATTCTCACCAATGGGAATTTAGGAGGTTACATGGCCACAAAATTTGAAAGAATACAACAAAGTACTTAAAAGCTGTGAAAACTTATTAAAAGCAAAGAACGGCCTTTTTTTCAGTTTTAGTCATGATCTTCATTATATCCAACATAGACCTTAGGTAGAACTCTAAATTTGTCCTCATGTTAAGTGGTTAGCACTTCTGCCTAGTAGCACTAGGGTTGTCGTTTGGAATCCAAACCATGACACTACCAGCCTAGAGTTTTCATGTTCTCCCTGTGCCTGCGTGTGTTTCCTTCAGGTATTCCAGTTTCCTCCCACACTCCAGAGACATGCTGGTAGGATAATTGGCTCCTGTTTATATTGGCCATAATACACTATTGCCAAAAGTATTTGGATGCCTGCCTTTACATGCACTTGAACTTTAATGGCATCCCAGTCTCAGGCCATAGGGTTCAATATTGAGTTGGCCCCGCCCTTTGCAGCTATAACAGCTTCAACTCTTCTGGGAAGGCCGTCCACAAGGTTTAGGAGGGTGTCTATGGGAAGGTTGGACCATTCTTCCAGAAGCACATTTGTGAGGTCAGGCACTGATGTTGGGGGAGGAAGTCTGCTCTAATTCATCCCAAAGGTGTTCTATGGGGTTGAGGTCAGGACTCTGTGCAGGCCAGTCAAGTTTCTCCACCCCAAACTGGCTCCTCCATGTCTTTATGGACCTTGCTTTGTGCACTGGTGTGCAGTCATGTTGGAACAGGAAGGGGCCATCCCCAAACTCTTCCCACAAAGTTGGGAGCATGAAATTGTCCAAAATGTTTTGGTATGCTAACGCCTTAAGAGTTCCCTTCGCTGGAACTAGGGGGCCAAGCCCAACCCCTGAAAAACAATCACACACCATAATCCCCCCTCCACCAAATTTTACACTTGGCACAATGCAGTCAGGCAAGTACCGTTCTCCTGACCAGTACCACCAAACCCAGACACACCTATCAGATTGCCAGAGAAGTGTGATTGGTCACTCCATAGAACATGTCTCCATACCCTAGAGTCCAGTGGCGGCGTGCTTTACACCACGGAATCTGACTCTTTGCATTGCACTTGTGATGAAAGTCTTGAAGCTAGCCAGGAAATGTTTTAGCACTCTGCATGGACTATGCAGCACGGATGGACTTTTTTGCACAGGTGACAACCTATCATGGGACCACGCTTGGAGTCACTGAGCTCCCGAGAGCGACCCATGCTCGGCCATGGAAACCTATTCCATGAAGCTCTCTACGCACTGTTGCTGTGCTAATTTGAAGGCCACATGACATTTGGAGGTCTTTAGCTATTGACTCTGCAGACAGTTGGCGACTTCTGCACACTGTGCGCTTCACCATGCACTGACCCCGCTCTCAGGTCATGTTACGTGGCCTACCACTTGGTGGCTGAGTTGCTGTTGTTCCCAGTTGCTTCCACTTTGTTATAATCCCACTAACAGTTGAGCGTGGAATATTTAGTAGCCAGGAAATGTCACAGATGGACTTTTTGCACAGGTGACAACCTATCATGGGACCACGCTTGGAGTCACTGAGCTCCCGAGAGCGACCCATTCTTTCACCAATGTTTGTAGTAAAGCAGTCTGCATGCCTAGGGGCTTGATTTTATAGGCCTGTGGCCAGGGAGGTGATTGGAACACTTGAATCACATGATTTGAAGGGCTGGCCCAATACTTTTGTCAATACAGTGTATGTGCATATATGAATGTGAGTTAAGGACCTTTGACTTTTACGCTCCTTGAGGGTTAGGGACTGATGTGAATGTACAATATACGTATCTGTAAAGCTCTGTGTAAAATTGACAGCACTATATAGAGAAAGTATTTGTAATAATAAAATAAATGTCAGCCATCCATAATCCTTTGCAGAGCAGCACTCAGATTGGAAGAGGAAAAGACAATACTCTGAGACAATGAGGCTGTGTTGCTGTCAGTCAAGTGTCTCCACATTTCTTACGGTAGGAAGGAGGAGAGCTATGATATTCTTAAAGATCTATCATTCTATTTTTGATACGGTTCTTTCCTCTATCAATGTACATGTTATATTTTGTCCCATATTGCCAGGTGCTTTCTAGCTGTAGCTATGAGTTCTGGCCAGCCCTGCTCTCCTCCTGCCACGGCAGGTCCGACAACAGCTAGGAAGGACACTTCCTAATGGCAGCTTGTCTCTGTTCTGAGGACTTTCCCAATACAAGCAGCCCAAGAGGAATGCAGAGAGAGTGGGGATGTGTCAGTCTTTGCAGTCCTGCTGCTGGGTCTTTGACCAGGAAAGTGTCAGAGCCAAGACAACCTACCTTTATGTAGTATCCATCTCCTTCCTAGCTGTTGTTGGAGTGGTCGTGGCAAGATATGTGAATTTGGCTACACTCTACACACCTGCTGATGATAACAGTCTTGCTCCATACATATTATAAGCTCTGTTCCTGACTGCAGTAGAGGAAAGTGATCTCATCGGCCTGGCAGAAGTGCCTGGATCACAAGACTGGCTGAACATAGTGGCATATTCTTTTACAGGTAAGACAGGCAATGTGTTAAAAGAAAATTCATTTATTACCATCCACACAGCCAATCAAGTGTTCGAATAACATCCGGATTGTTCAGTCTGGTGCAGGGGCGGACTGACAACTCATGGGGCCTACAGGCAATAGGGATCATGGGGCCCCTGTGTCCTTGCCCAAACTCAAAAAAGCCTATGAAAAAGGTACCAGGGGCATCTCCTGTGGCCCCCTACTGACCCCGAGCCCTCGGACAGTGCCCAAGTTTCCAAATGGTCAGTCCGCCCCTGGTCTGGTGATCTCCGGGATGCTGTACACCTACGCACGTTTGATCTCCACTACTTTTAGGGTATAGGTATGTAGCACTACCCCCCCCTAGGAGTTGCTGAGTATTTGGGTCCCCCTATAGTCCTGCACAGCCAGGCAACACATACTTTCCACAGACATCCACCCAGGTGTCAGAAATCAGTCATTTTACCTTGTTTTTTAATGTATATTAGGGGGATTTCAACTTGGATGGGGTAAGGGGAGGTAATATGGGATGCTCAATGGAACCGATGAACTTAGGACAACTGCAACACAGTCTCTTTCTGAGAGCTAGCCAGCATCACTTGTAGTGCCATCAACCATTAAAAAAAAAAGTTATAATCCTATACTCACAGTTGATCCAGAGGAAGGCAAAAAACCTGTTATGGAGCATAGCTATGGAACCATGTAAATTGGCAGCATGAATATTTATACCGTCTCAGTCAATCTCTGTGGGCTCTACACAGATGGCTGCTGGGAAAGGGTCTAAATAGTCTGGGACCTGGAACAGAAGTATCTTGTCCTTAAGGATTTAGATTGTAAGCTCCAAGGAGCAGGGCCCTCCTAACCCTCTTGTATTGAACTGTATTGTTTCTGTATTGTCTTCCTTTATATTGTAAAGCGCTGAGCAAACTGTTGGCGATATATAAATCCTGTACAATAATGTAATAAGGAGGCGATCACAGCATAAGGGGGGCTGGTTGTTCCATTAGGCAACCCTGCCATGTGCTGGCTGCTCATTGAGGCTGGGCTAGCTGACGGGCCTGGATGCTGAAAGTCGCTGAGAGCTGACTGAGGGGCTGTTGTCCAAAGATCTAGTCTGAAGTCACTGGGAAAAGGTGTCTGGAAGATTTTGGCCGTAGGCAGCCAACATCTGAAGACATTTGTGAGTACAGACTTGTTGCTTTGCAATTTATTGCTGTCACAATTAACTTTCTCATTCAATAAATTGAATAAAAAAAAATTCTTCCTCTAGTCGCAGTAGTTTGTCTATACATAGGATTTCCCAAATTACACCCACGCTTTATTGCTAAGAGTGCCTAATGTCAAAATTATAGGTAATCCTTTGCAAAGAAAATGACATCCACAGCAACTTCGTTTTAATAAAAATGTACTGAATATTAACCACAAGATGAATTTGGTCCATTAAAGCCAAACTCCAGCTATGACCTGCATTGCATACTTACATCGGTCCAGCTTGGACCGATGTAAGTATGGATACTTGTGAGGGGCCGCTGAGGAAGCTGGAAATCAGTATAGTAGTTTACCATACACAGATATCTCTCCTGAAGCTAGGTCCAACAATCAGTGGCTGTGAATCATTGGCCAGGACCTGCTGAACGGCGTATCAGGGAGCCAATGACAGTGTGGCTAGGTGGGCGCGCTCCCCCTACCCGGAAATGATAAAAGTCACGTATATAGATATAAAGCTACAGTATGCAGTCAGCAAGTAGCTAAATACACAGTTGTCTTTATATGAATTTTTTTACATTAAATGTTCTATACAGATATATATATATATATATATATATATATACACATACACATACACACACAGTCTATAGCACTTACTTTACTTGGCCTGTGTAGACTGATCCGTCTATCCATTTCCATTCCTCATTGACTTTTCTTAGGCCGATCCAATGATCTTCCTTCAGAGTGAACAGTTCTTCAATGTGTCGCTGTAATACAAAGGAGGGATGGGGACATTTGCATGGCTCAATAAAACTGTATTTCATGTGAACATAAAGATAATGCGAGATCCTGGTAAGCAGAATACAGAGACCCAGTCATGGTGTTTTGAAGGAATTTACTATCAAATTCATACAAACCTCATTCATACTATAGGGGCTCATTTAGGAGAATGCCAGCCAAGCAACTTGGTCATTGCCCCTTTTCCTGGACAGCTTGGTCTGTTAGAATTGGTGGAAAAAATATATACTGGTAGGATCAACAAGTAATAAAACTATAATACAGGGTGGACTAAGAACTAACGCTGCTGCGTTAAAGCAGAACTCAGGGATCAGTACATTTTGTTTAAATCCATTCATCATGTATATTCTTCCTTGAATCTTGGTGTGCTTTGTGTGTTTTTTCCAAATCTGTGCAGTAATCCAGTGTGAGACTTCTGTGCGGGAGCTTCCGGTAATAAAGACCGGTCACTGCTGCTCTCTCTCCTTGTGCAGAGTGACTGGTCTTGTCTCCGCCCCCCCCCCTGTAGTTTTCTGCAGGCAGCCTGAAGTGGATGGAGCTGTTAGGCCCCTCCCACAGTTCTGCAAAGCAAAGCAAGTATCAAGCACAATGGAGGTTCCAAGGGGATATGTAGATAACCACACTAAGGGCATCTCCAACTACTCATTCAACCAGCAATGAGGCATGAGCACAAAACAAATAAAAGGAGTGCAGCCAACCCTGTGGAAGTCAATAGAGACACAAGCCCAGGAACAGATAAAATACATTTAATTTAATGTAAAATTAAAAAGGTATGACTGATATATCACCAAGCCAGTGGAGAGGAGAAACACATAATCCCAGAAGCTGAAGGATCACACATGATCCCAGACCCAACAGTAGGCTACATTCCACAGCCTAAGGACAGAGGGAGAAGTGTGTGGTTTATGACCACCGGTGTCACCAAGATGGTGAGTCTGCCGGAAGTCACATGTCCAAGATTGGATGCGATGTCATACACCTAGTAGAAGAAATCTGAATGTCAGCTGATGAGGGCAAAGTGGAAGTCTTGGAGAGCACTCAAACCAAAGAAGAGAAGTCAGTCAACATGTTTTGGGGGGCTTGTCCCTTCTTCAGTGTGTCATCCTTAAGGACTGCCCACAGACAACATTTGGCACACGTAACATGGACTTGTATCCTTTGTGGCTATTAAGTAACATTTTTCAATGAAAGTTTTTGTGTCTTGAGTTCATTTGTACCTCCCTTAGTTTTAGGAGCTTTCACCTACCTGGGAGGTGTTGTCCATGACCAGCAATGACCCCCCTTCCTCCTTGCAGTACTCCTGGGCAGATTTCCAAACAGTGGCATTCTTCGATACAAAATAACAGGTACGTCCATGCCGTGTCCACTTATCAGGGCAGAACAAATTTTCATGCACTAAGAAAAAAAAAAAAATCAACTTGATATGGACTTAAAGTGAAAGACAGACAGCTAGATAAGACTGAAAATACACATCTGTTTCCAGTCTTTTCTGGTAAATTGTGTATAACTTTATCCAGTCTTGCACACCTTGGCCACATTTTGCAGTCAAAGGGCAATAATGTTATCCATAGATGTCAATTATCCAAAACAGTTATCCATAAAAATATAACAAATATTTATAAAAATATAACAATTATCCATAAAAATATAACACAATTATCCAGAACTTTCAGCTCTACAGCTTCCTGTAGCCTACTCTCCAGCCTTGCCAAACTGCTGAGGGCCTCATTGATGTATGAACATATCCGAAACTCACAATTTACTAACAGCTAAAACCAATGGACATTACGATTGACCACCCCCTCCTTCTCTAAAAACTTTAGTCCTTTGGTCTCTGTGACTGTGCTCTTTGTTGGTTCTCATCCTATCTATCTCACCGTACCTTCAGTGTCATTTACAATTCTACTTCCTCCTCTCCTCTTTTTTTTCGTCAAGGTCCCCCAAAGTTCTGTTCTTGGACCCCTCCTTTTCTCCATCTACACCTCCTTGGGTCAGCTGGTAACATCCCATGGCTTTTGATATCATTTCTATGCCGACAAAAACTAAATCTATCTCCCTACCCCTCAGCTCACATCAGTCTCCTCACTGACCTACAGACAGACATATCAGTCTGGGTGTCACACCACTTCCTCAAACTCAATCTATCCAAAACTGGGCTCTTAATATTTTCTCTCCCACATGCCCCTTCCCCTGACTTCTCTGGGAAGATCAATGGCAAAACTATCAACCCGTCCACGCTTGCTAGGGTGCTAGAAGTAATACTTGACTCTGAACTCTCCCTTCGGCCCCACATCCAATCACTGTCCAAATCATCCCACCTCAACATCTCCAGAATATGCCCCTTCCTAACCAATAACACCACAAAGCTCCTACTTCACTCTCTGGTCATCTCTCGCCTTGACTCCTGCAACGCCCTCCTCATTGACTTACCTTTACATATGCTATGCCCCATCCAGTCCATCATGAATGCTGCTGCCAGGCTCATCTACCTTGCCAACAGTTCAGCGTCTGCCACCCCTCTCTGCCAATCCCTGCATTCGCTGCCACTCACCCAACAAATTAAATTCAAATTACGAACAACTCACAAAGCCATCCACAACTCGGCACCCAGATGCATCACGAATCTCAGTCTAGTCTGAGATTAGACAAGACTCAATCTAGTCTCAAATTCAAACCAAATTGTTCTCTTCCTCCCAAGAGTTCCTGCTCTCAAATTCCCTTGTCACCTCCTCCCACAGTCACCTCCAGGACTTCTCCCGAGTCTCTGCCATCCTATGGTCTTCCCTACCCCCAATCTGATTATCTCTTACTCTGTTAATTTTTAGGCAATCCCTGAAAATATTTCTCTTCAGAGAAGCCTATCCTGCCTTCACCTAACAACTGTACATGTATTTTCTCCATCAGCTCATCCCCCACAGTTATTACCTTTTGTATCACTTGGCCCTCCCTTTTATATTGTAAGTTCTAATGAGCAGGACCCTCTAAATCCTCCTGTATTGTAACTGTACTGTCCGCCCTCAAGCTGTAAAGGGCTGTGCAAACTGCTGGCGCTATATAAATCCTGTATAATAATATTAATAATAATAAAGAATTATTGTTGCCCATGTCAAGCATCAAAATCCATCTGGATCTTAAAAAAAAAAGGAATTGGAAGATGATTGTTTGTGCTGCAAAATTATGAAACATGGCTTCAGTCAAACTACAGACCTGATGTCATTAACCTTCTTCTCTCCAGTTTTGTATAGAGTGGATGGAGTATAGTTTTTTGTTTGTTTGTTTTATGCGGGAAGGGAGACCCTGGGCCACCTTGATCCAAGGGAGCTTGCTAAGGCCTAGTGATACTCTTTTCTGGAATTTCACATGCAGTGCTCAGCATAAATGAGTACACCCCTTTTGAAAAGCAAGATTTGAATCAATATCTCAATCAACACAAGATCAATTTCCAAAATTTTGACAAAACTGTTTTTATAGAACATTTGTTTGGCTCATTACATGAAAGTAAGGTTAATAACACTTAGATTACAAAATCTTCAGTTTTACTCAAATTGGTTGATGTAAAAATTAATACACCCCATAACAAAAATTACTCCATCTAGTATTTTGTATGACCTCCATGATTTGTAAAGACAGCACCAAGTCTTCTAGGAATGGAATGAACAAGTTGGCGACATATTGCAACATCCATCTTTTTCCTTTCTTTAAGAACGACCTATTTTAGAGCCTGGATGCTGGATGGAGAGTGATGCCCAACTTGTCTCTTCAGAATTCCCCATAGGGGTTCGGTTGGGTTCAGATCAGGAGACATATTGGCCACTGAATCACTTTCACCCTGTTCTTCAGAAATGCAACAGTGGCCATAGATGTGTGTTTTGGATCATTGTCATGTTGGAAAAGTGCACGACGACCAGGGACACGGAGTGATGGTAGCATCTTCTCTTTCATTATAGAGCAGTACATCTGTGAATTCATGATACCATCAATTTAAATGCAGCTCCCGGACACCAGCAGCACTTATGCAGCCCCACAGAAGGACACTGCCACCACCATGTTTCACTGTAGGCACCGTGCATTTTTCTTTTTACATTTCATCTTTTTGACGCCAGACAGTTTTGAAGCCATCAGTTCCAAAAACATTTATCTTGGTCTCATCAGTCCAGAGTATAGAGTAGTAGTCTTCTTTTTCAGCATGGGCCCTGGCAAATTCCAAGCGGGCTTTTTTGTGTATGGGCTTTAGGAGAGGCCTTCTTCATGGATGACACCCATGCATGCCATTCCTCTGCAGTGTACACCATATTGTGTCACGGGAAACAATCACCGCAGTTTGGCTTTCTACTTCTTTAGCTAACTGCAGTGAACTTGCATGGCGATTTTGTTCAACCCTTCTCATCAGAAGAGGTGTTTAACTTCCATGGACAGCCTCGATGGCTCTGTGAGATGGCTGCAGTTCCATCTTTGCATCACTTTTGCTCCAGTATTCTCACTGATAAGTAAAGGTTTGCTGATCTTCTTGTAGCCTTCACCTTTCTTGTGTAAAGAAATTATTTTCTTTCTCAGGCCTTGTGACATTTCTCCTCCATGTGTTGCCATTGCTGACAGAATTAAATGGGAGGGGTTTTCTTTGTTAAGTAACGCCCTTTTATAATCACTTGTCTGCTGGATGCCTGTTTAATGAATAATTAGACCCACTTGGAGTTTAATTCATATTAATTAGGATTTTGTTGTCTAAAATTTAGCTTTGCTCCTAAGACTTTCATTGGGGTATATTCATTTTTGCAACATGGTCGTGAATGAATTTGTTAGGAAAAATACTTTGTGTTTGCAAATTAACAAATCTTGTTTGGCCGGCATTTGTGGGAGTATTTTGTAGTATAGTGTCCCATAGAAAATGTTGATTCTGAAAGGAGAGTAAAGGTTTTCTGACAAATCTGTTGGGGTGTACTGATTTATGTTGAGCACCGTTGTTCTGGAGGGTACCTAAGTGGTTTTGGCTTGTATCAATGATGGGTATGTTGAATGCTAATCAACTTCTTTCCATAAGTAATCAAAATTGTAAAAATATTATTTATTACAGGCATTTATATAACGGTGACATTTTACGCAGCACTTTACATATATAATGTACATTCACATCAGTACTTGTCCTCAAGCAGTTTGCAGTCTAAGGTCCTGAACTCACATTCATACATATATTATAGCCAATTTACCTACCAGCATGTTTTTGGAGTGTGGAAGGAAACTCAAGCAGGCAGAGGGAGAACATGCAAACTCCAAGTAGGAGGTGCCATGGTTGGGATTCAAACTAACAACTCTATTGCTGCCAGACACTTAGAATAAATATATTTTGGAATGTAAACAATTTAGCATTGTCCTCTTTGATGTTAAAGTGGTTCTAAAAGGTCACAGTTTTGTACCTTCATGCATTCTGTGCATGAAGGTAAATAACCTTCTGTGTGCAGCATCCCCCCCAACACCTGAGCCCCATCACAATTCAACGATGTGCATGACAACCTCGGCTCTCTGGGGACCCTCCTGGAGAGCTTCAACTTCTGTCAATCACAGTCAGTGAGCCAACAAGGAGAAACAGGGGACGGTGGCTCTGTGTGGAAATGGAGCAGTGGCTAGGGTGTGAGCTTGCTTGGGTGACCCCATAGCAAGCTGCTCGCTCTGAGGGCACTAGGCAGGGGGGGAGGGGTCAGGAGCCCTGGTGGGGGACCCAAGAAGAGGAGGATCGGGGCTGCTCTGTGCAAAACCACTGCACAGAGCATGTAAGTATGACATTTTCTTTTTTTAAACATTATTATTATACAGGATTTATATAGCGCCAACAGTTTGCTCAGAGCTTTACATTATAGTGGGGGACAATACAGTTCAATACAAGAGGCTTAGGAGGGCTGATCCTGGGAGCTTACAATTTAAGAAAAAAAAACATTGTCATTAATATCACATTAAAGTATACAGTATACAATGAATACCTGAACTGAATAACCAAATTTATTCCCTCTTGAGAAGAGGAGATTAAGGGGGGATATGATCACCATGTACAATACATAAGGGGGGATATGATCTCCATGTATAATATACATAAGGGGGGATATGATCTCCATGTATAATACATAAGGGGGGATATGATCTCCATGTATAATACATAAGGGGGATATGATCACCATGTATAATACATAAGGGGGATATGATCTCCATGTATAATACATAAGGGGGGATATGATCTCCATGTATAATACATAAGGGGGATATGATCTCCATGTATAATACATAAGGGGGATATGATCTCCATGTATAATACATAAGGGGGGATATGATCTCCATGTATAATACATAAGGGGGATATGATCTCCATGTATAATACATAAGGGGGGATATGATCACCATGTATAATACATAAGGGGGGATATGATCTCCATGTATAATACATAAGGGGGGATATGATCTCCATGTATAATACATAAGGGGGGATATGATCTCCATGTATAATACATAAGGGGGATATGATCTCCATGTATAATACATAAGGGGGGATATGATCTCCATGTATAATACATAAGGGGGGATATGATCTCCATGTATAATACATAAGGGGGGATATGATCTCCATGTATAATACATAAGGGGGGATATGATCACCATGTATAATACATAAGGGGGGATATGATCTCCATGTATAATACATAAGGGGGGATATGATCTCCATGTATAATACATAAGGGGGGATATGATCTCCATGTATAATACATAAGGGGGGATATGATCTCCATGTATAATACATAAGGGGGGATATGATCTCCATGTATAATACATAAGGGGGGATATGATCTCCATGTATAATACATAAGGGGGGGATATGATCTCCATGTACAATACATAAGGGGGGATATGATCTCCATGTACAATACATAAGGGGGGATATGATCTCCATGTATAATACATAAGGGGGGGATATGATCACCATGTATAATACATAAGGGGGGATATGATCACCATGTATAATACATAAGGGGGGATATGATCTCCATGTATAATACATAAGGGGGGATATGATCTCCATGTATAATACATAAGGGGGGGATATGATCTCCATGTATAATACATAAGGGGGATATGATCACCATGTATAATACATATGGGGGGATATGATCTCCATGTATAATACATAAGGGGGGATATGATCTCCATGTATAATACATAAGGGGGGGATATGATCACCATGTATAATACATAAGGGGGATATGATCACCATGTATAATACATAAGGGGGATATGATCTCCATGTATAATACATAAGGGGGATATGATCTCCATGTATAATACATAAGGGGGGATATGATCTCCATGTATAATACATAAGGGGGGATATGATCTCCATGTATAATACATAAGGGGGATATGATCTCCATGTATAATACATAAGGGGGATATGATCTCCATGTATAATACATAAGGGGGGATATGATCTCCATGTATAAGACATAAGGGGGATATGATCTCCATGTATAATACATAAGGGGGGGATATGATCTCCATGTATAATACATAAGGGGGGATATGATCTCCATGTATAATACATAAGGGGGATATGATCTCCATGTATAATACATAAGGGGGATATGATCACCATGTATAATACATAAGGGGGATATGATCTCCATGTATAATACATAAGGGGGATATGATCACCATGTATAATACATAAGGGGGGGGGATATGATCACCATGTATAATACATAAGGGGGGATATGATCACCATGTATAATACATAAGGGGGGATATGATCTCCATGTATAATACATAAGGGGGATATGATCTCCATGTATAATACATAAGGGGGGGGATATGATCACCATGTATAATACATAAGGGGGGATATGATCTCCATGTATAATACATAAGGGGGGATATGATCTCCATGTATAATACATAAGGGGGGATATGATCTCCATGTATAATACATAAGGGGGGATATGATCTCCATGTATAATACATAAGGGGGGATATGATCTCCATGTATAATACATAAGGGGGATATGATCTCCATGTATAATACATAAGGGGGGGGATATGATCTCCATGTATAATACATAAGGGGGATATGATCTCCATGTATAATACATAAGGGGGGATATGATCTCCATGTATAATACATAAGGGGGGGATATGATCTCCATGTATAATACATAAGGGGGGGATATGATCTCCATGTATAATACATAAGGGGGGGATATGATCTCCGATCCATTATGCTCAATCTGCAGATCCAAACCATCCTGCAGGGATCGTCGGAGGGGGTGTCACCAAGTGTTACCACAGCGGGTGACACCAACCCTAGAGACACCCCTGCACCTTCCAGATTTCACAGCCAAGCAAAGTGTCTGCAGTGGGACAGAACTATTCAGATATTTGGCTTACCAGGGGATGTAGCTCTGCATATAACCACAGCTACTACAATGAGTATTACAGCAATAATGGCTGCTATCACCCCTATGCACAGAGGTCTCTTCCAACACACAGGGCAGCGGGACTGGATCTGCAAAACAAGACATGTGGTGAAAAACAAAACTTGTGATGTTGAGTGGCAACAAAAAAGCAAAAAAAAAAAAAAAAAGTATTTCAGCATGGAACAGTTATATAGCCTTTTTCATGATAAATAGTAATTTGTGTAATCCCAGCACAGTGATTGGCTGTCAGTGACAGCAGATGGTTTCTAGTTATGATTGAGAGCTGGTGGGACGGACGAGCTTCCCATTATGTGACCACTATGACAAACTATCACAATAGTCATATAATTGGAAAGTCTGTCCAGCCCCCCTGGTCTTAAGGCCCAGTTAAGGGTTAGGGACTACAATCTACTGTAATAACCTCTTCCCAGCCGCCCTATAGTAGTTTTACTGCTGCAGGGCAGCCACTCTGTGCAAAATCAGGTATATATACAAGATATTGCATTTCTGAGTAGGGGGCGCATGTGCATGTCCCACCCAGAATCAATTAGTGTCAGAATGCCCGCCGTTACTGCCATTACTAGTATATAAAAAAAAAATTACAGTATAATACCACCATTTGTAGACGCTATCACTTTCACGCAAACCAATTAATACACTTTGGGGGATTTTGTTTTTTTTTCCCCAAGGACATGTCCTCAGAGATTCTGGTCCATATTAACATGATAGCATCACGCAGTTGCTGCAGATTTGTCGACTGCACATCCATGAACCATTGATACAAGGCAGGATGGATCCATGCTTTCACGTTCTTTATGCCAAATTCTGCCATCTGAATGTCGCAGATGAAATCGAGACTCATCAGTCCAGGCAACGTTTTTTCAGTCTTCTATTGTCCAATTTTGGTGAGCCTGTGCGAATTGTAGCCTCTGTTTCCTGTTCTTAGCTGACAGGAGTGGCACCCTGTGTGGTCTTCTGCTTCTGTAGCCCATCTGCTTCAAAGTTGGATGTGTTGTGCATTCAGAGATGGTATTCTGCATACCTTGGTTGTAATGAGGGGTTATTTGAGTTACTGTTGCCTTTCTATCATCTGGAACCAGTGTGCCCATTCTCCTCTGACATCAACAAGGCATTTTTTTTTCCACACAACTGGCACTCACTGGATATTTTCTCTTCTTCGGACCGTTCTTTGTAAACCCTAGAGATGGTTGTGCGTGAAAATTCCTGTAGATCAGCAATTTTTGAAATACTCAGACCAGCCCGTCTGGCACTAAGTCACTTAAATCCCTTTTCTCTCCCATTCTGATGCCCGGTTTGCACGTCACCACGTCTAGATGCCTAAATGCATTGAGTTGCTGCCATGTGATTGGCTGATTAGCAGCTTGTGTTACCAAGCAATTGAACAGGTGTAACTATTAAAGTGGCCGGTGAGTGTATATAAGCCCCTGGGTATCGCGGTTCACAAATCTCTGACATCTAAGGAGGCTTCCTGGTGACAGTTTCAAAGTACCAGCCTCAATGATAAAATTACTCTGACATCAACAAGGCATTTTCGTCCACACAACTGCCACTCACTGGATATTTTCTCTTTTTTCGGACCATTCTCTGTAAACCCTAGAGATGGTTGTGCATGAAAATCCCAGTAGATCAGCAGTTTTTGAAATACTCATACCAGCCCGTCTGACACCAACAACCATGCCACGTTCAAAGTCACTTAAATCCCTTTTCTTCCCCATTCTGATGCTCGGTTTGAACTTCAGCAAGTCGTCTTCACAAAGTCTAGATGCCTAAATTCATTGAGTTGCTGCCATGTGATTGGCTGATTATCAATTTGCGTTATCAAGCAATTGAACAAGTGGACCTTATAAAGTGGCCGGTGAGTGTATGTAGTATCGCAGCAGTCGTCAGGAGTAGATTTTATTTTGCAGGTTTTTTGGTGGTGGTTCATGGTAATGGCTAAGGTGTAAATTTTTTTTTATTATTATTATTTTGGCCCAGTTTTTCTTTCATAATAAAACAAAATCAGGAGATTATAATTAACATTTAGCCCTGGTTCACACTGCAGGTGCAACATGCGATTTACAAATCGCACCTGAAGTTGCATGTATTTCTATGTCACGGTCTTTATAGGCGCAATGTCAATTACCGCGATTTGAAAAATAGTTCCCGCATTGCCTTTTCACCACTTCAGTGCGATTTAATTCTCATAGACTAGAAGGGAAATGGCACTGAAATAGCACCTGTGTCTATACCAGCGCTACTTTGAGGTCACGCTTTAAACGGGACCAAATCGCACCACTTTGAAATCGAATTCGGTGTGAACCAGGATGCCAAATGAAAGCCCAATCTGTCCTGAAAATAACACGTTATATTCCACCTGGATCCACTAAGTAATTAGGATGATAGGTACAGTTATACTAACACGTCGAAGTTGTGAAATCGATTTTACTTGTTAAGGTAAAGGAAGGGGTTAATGAGCTATTCCAGGCATGTTTTCCATTGATTTGGAGTAGACGAACTATTCAATATGGAGTCATTTTAGGTAGTGCATTGTAATTGGTGCCCTATCGATCGTCTGATCGTACTTTACTCCCTGACAGTAGTGCTGGGCTTAGTGAACACACGAACGCCAAGGGCGTTTGATGGGCTGTTCGCCTGCCGTGCCCCACATTGCACTGCGCCCAAACAGTGCATTGTGACTGGCCAAAGCAATACACCTGACCAATGCAATGCTTTGGCCAATCACAGTGCATTATGATGTCACAAGGGGCGGGGGTGACCCTGCCCCTTTGTGACGTCACCACAGTATTTAAGATCTGTCATCCCAACGTAGCTGTCAGACGTCGGGAATGGAGCCTTTTATTTTTTCTCTTTTTTTGGGTCGGCTCATGATTGACGTTGGATCTACTTCTGGGGGCATTATTTGAAATTTTTGTTGCGCCTAGACGCCGAGTGGCCGCACATTTTCGTTCTATTAAAAAAGAATATATGTGCTGAGAGCACGCTCCCTGCGCGCTCCCAGCACACATGTCCGGTACTCACGGAAAGGTCCCGATCTCCTCTTTCGATCGGGACCTTTCCCGATCATGTGACCCTAAACCCCACCCCGCCTCCTGAAACCCTTAAAGGGCCGGGAGGCGCCGGCGTGAAGGGGTTAATAAAGGACTTGTCAAAGACTGTCTTCTGTCATTTTTACACTATCCTTTTTTTTTCTCGTAAATGGGTAGTGGTACCATATACCCCATACTCATTCACATGGGGGGGATCTGGGGGCCCCCTTGTTAACGGGGGCTTCCAGTTTCCGATAAGCCCCCTACCCACAGACCCCCACAACCACTGGCCAGGGTTGTGGGGAAGAGGCCCTTGTCCTCATCAACATGGGGACAATGTGCTTTCAGGGGGGCAGCCCCCCTGCCCCAAAGCACCCCCCTCATACTGAGGGCATGTGGCCTGTTATGGTTCAGAAGGGGGGGTGCTCGCTCATACCCCCCCTTTCCTGACCTGCCGGGTTGCATGCTCAGATAAGGGTCTGGTATAGATTTTAGGGGGACACCCACACCATTTTGTTTTTAAATTTTGGCATGGGGTTCCCCTCGAAACCCATACCAGACCCCAAGGGCTTGGTATGGATGGGAGGGGGGAAAGATGCAGTTTTTTTTTTTTTAAATGTTTAAATGCCAGCAAACCTTTTTACACCCCACTGACAGCTGAAACATGAATGAATGTTTTTCTGTTATACTTTCTGTCTGCGGAGAGATGAGGCCTTTGCTGTTGGATGCACTATTCCTTTATTGCTGCACTCTTACTTTATAATCAGGTTTGTAGGTATCATCACAGGAATACAGCAGCGTACATCCTCTTCTATTACTGTCTGACTACCCAAGATGGCTGCCCTCTGACCTGTATGTCATTTCAGGACGGAGCCACTAGTTAAGGTAACAGAGCATGTAACCACATTCAGCTATACAAGCTTCACTGCTAAAATACCGCATGGCTTCATAATAGAACAGATGCCGGGTTTTAGTAACTGATCCTACTACATCCTACCACAGATGCAGGAAGATACCTCTTATCTTAGATTGTACACCCCGTGAGGGTCAGGGACCTTAGATTGTACACCCCTTGAGGGTTAGGGACTGATGTGAATGTACAATATATATGTAAAGCGCTGTGTAAATTGACGGCGCTATATAAGTACCTAAAATAAATAGTGAACTGTCCCCTCTGTTCGAAGTTCGCGGCTGAACTTTAGGTTCAAATGTTTGCGAGATTACCAGAGGGGTATTCAGCCCATCACTACCTGACAATAAATTGGTTGACATTACGTTCTTATATTTATTATTTATTTATCTCAGGGACTTATATAGTGCCGTCAAGTTACGCAGCACTTTATACATATATTGTACATTATTATTATTATACAGGATTTATATATTATTATTATTATTATTATACAGGATTTATATATTATTATTATACAGGATTTATATATTATTATTATTATACAGGATTTATATATTATTATTATACAGGATTTATATATTATTATTATTATACAGGATTTATATATTCGTATTATTATACAGGATTTATATATTATTATTATTATTATTATACAGGATTTATATATTATTATTATTATTATACAGGATTTATATAGGCGCCAACAGTTTGCTCAGCGCTTTACAATATAACGGGAGACAATACAGTAACAATACAGTTCAATACAAGAGGGATAGGAAGGCCTGATCCTTGGAGCTTACAATCTATATTGTACATTCACATCAGTCCCTAACCCTCAAGGGGCGTACAATCTAAGGTCCCTAACTCACATACATACATACACATACTAGGGACAATTTGGACAGGAGCCAATTAACCTCCCAGCATGTCTTTGTAGTGTGGAAGGAAACTGAAGTACCCGGAGGAAACCTATGCAGGCACAGGGAGAACATGCAAACTCCAGGCAGGTGATGCCGTGGTTGGGATTTGAACCAACGATCCCAGTACTATATAAAATAACTCCGTGTATGGTCACCGTTATCAGTAGACCTGTATAGTAAGTCAGCCCAGGTACGATCTTTCTCCACCCTTCTCGAAAAATCTGCGAAAAAGTTGCAATAAATCTCACTGCACCTATTTAGCATTGCCATACTGTGCAACAGAGTAGAAACATGTCCCTACATGTCCGTCTGATGTATGGAGTCTGCTCTCCCTCCCCAGGACCCTACCTGTCTACGTGCTGATCTGCGCTCGATCACCATATCCCGGCTCTGTTGGCCATCCTCCAGAAAGGCTTGCTCGCCCTTCTCCTCGTCCTCGTCCCTCGTCATGACTGCAACTGAGCTCTGCTGACTCATGCCGTGCCTTATATACTTCCCCTCCCCCCACCTAGTAGTGATGGGTGTGGCGAGGAGCGCAGAGGTTTTCAGCAGGTGAATTTTTCACGGCCCGGGCACATCGATCCTGACTTTGAAATGGTGATATGAGCGTCGTAATAGCAGACAATAGGGTGCGACTTGGCTTGCAATTTGCAAGTCGCATGGCATGAAGTATGATACGTACCTGACACGTCCACCCGTTCTCTTCCCTGGAGCATCACAGTGGTGATCAGCTTTAACCCTTTCGCTGCCAGGTCTGTATGTTGTACTGACCCGACAGCAGGGGGGGGGGGGGTACGCACAGTCCTGATGGAGGACTCCTACCCGTCAGGTGGAAGCATTTGGCTGACGCCCCCATCGCTTCCACACACCCCCCGTAAAACCACCCCCCCCATGTGCGTGCCCCCGCTATGTATTCCAGGCTCCCCTTGCCTGTCTGAGGGCTCTGGACTGACATGGTGGGTGGAGGGGAGGGAGGAGATCGGATGTATGTCCACTCTTCTCCCCTTCTTGCTATGACCCGGAAAGCGACGTGTGTGACATCACTTTCAGGTCACCGCTGTCACTTTCCCTGGACAGCATAGCCAGGAAAGAATGTATTGCAATGCGATCTGCATTGCCATACATCCAGTGGAGTGCAGAGGAGACATGCGGGGTCTTGTAGACCCCAGATGTCTCATTACAGAGAACCTGTCACCTAAAAAATGACCACATAGTGGACTTTTTGACCCCTATGTGATCATTTTTTAGACCCCAGATGTCTCATTAAAGAGAACCTGTCACCTAAAAAATGATCACATAGTGGACTTTTTGACCCCTTTGTGATGAAATAAATAAAAATGTGTTTTTTTTTGTTTGTTTTTTTTCCAGAAAGAGGTTTATTGAGAAAAACAAACACAATACAGCATGTCAGCAAACAGATCAATGTATTATACAAATCATGTATTGGATATACTGACATATAGCTGATCATTAATCGTAAAAAAATTGACCAGAATTAGCAATGCAGGTGTTGCAGCATCCAGTGGAGCCCAGAGGAGGCATGTGGGGTCTTTTAGACCCCAGATGTCTCATTAAAGAGAACCTGTCAACTAAAAATTATCACATAGTGGACTTTTTGACCCCTATGTGATGAAAAAAATTTGTTTTTTTTTGTTTTTTTCCCAGAAAGAGGTTTATTGAGAAAAACAAACAATACAGCATGTCAGCAAACAGATCAATATATTATACAAATCATGTATTGGATATACTGACATATAGATGATCATTAATCGTAATAAATTGATCAGAATTAGCAATGCAGGTGCTATGCAATACATCCAGTGAGCCCAGAGGAGACATGTGGGGTCTTTTAGACCCCAGAATATCTCATTAAAGAGAACCTGTCAACTAAAAAATGATCACATATGGACTTTTTGACCCCTATGTGATGAAAAAAAAAAAAAATAGAAATGTTTTTTTTCTGGGAGGGTTTTCTTTTCCCCAGAAAGAGGTTTATTGAGAAAAACAAACAATACAGCATGGCAGCAAACAGATCAATATATTATACAAATCATGTATCAGATGGATAATACATATAGCTGACGGTAATCGTAATCGATACAAATTAGCAATGCAGGTGTTGCAATACATCCAGTGGAGCCCAGAGGAGGCATGTGGGGTCTTTTAGACCCCAGATGTCTCATTAAAGAGAACCCACCTAAACAATCATCACATAGGGAATTTTCACATGATGAAAAAAAAATAAAAATGTTTTTTTTGTTTGTTTTTTTCCCAGAAAGAGGCTTATTGAGAAAAACAAACAATACAGAATGTCAGCAAACAGATCAATATATTATACAAATCATGTATTGGATATATTGACCCCTATAGCAAATTGGATCATTAATTGCGGGTTTTTTGATGTTTCGAATGGAGCAATGTGGGTGTAGCAATACATCCATTTTTTTTTTTTAAGCCCAGAGGATGGCATGTGGGGTCTTTTTTCAGCCAGATGTCTCGTTATATAGAGAACCTGTCACCTAAAAATCGATCAGAATTAGCAATAGTGGACTTTTTGTAAAACCATTTTACATTACCGTATCAAAAATGATATACCACTGATTCAGGTGATAGTATTCAGCCATGTAGAATTGCAGAAAGTAATAGTGCCTATGGGTAGCTGATAACTGATGGCAAGGTAATTAAGGCACAATAATCAGTAGTGTATTTTGTTTTTTTGTTGCCCTAGGCAAGACTAACATCGGGCACCCCCCCCCCCATCTAAATTTTGTTACTCCTTTGCTGTTTAAGATCCACCTCTTCAGGACAGGAGCATGATGGAGGGCAGTGTGAAATGGGGGGGCGCAGGACAGGAAGGGGGCAGCGGGACAGGAGGAGGGCAGCATGGTGGGGATATGAGGACAGGAATAGGCCATCGGGGACAGGTGGGGGGGTAAGCAGGACAAGAGGGAGGCAGCCTAACAGGGGGAGGGCAGCATGATGGGGGGCAAACGTGATGGGTGGGGAGGCAGAGGGACAGGTGGGGGGCAGTGTGACGGGGGGCATGGGACAGGATCGGGGCAGCGGACAGGTGAGGAGCGCAGTGAGGAGGAGGCAGAGAGCGGGGCAGAGGGACAGCAGGTGGAGCGCAGAGGGATAGGAGAAGCAGGGCAGGGAAAGGTGAGGAGGCAGTGGGGACAGGAGGAGTGCAGAGGGACAGGTGAGGGGCAGCATGACAGGGGGAGGGTCGGGTGGAACAGGATTGGGGGGCAGCGGGACAGAACAAGGAGCGCACTGGGACAGGAGGAGCGCGCAGAAGGACAGAGTGAGGGGCAGTGGGACAGGAGGAGTGCAGAGGTACGGGTGGGGGGCAGCGTGACGGGGGCATGGGACAGGATTGGGGACAGGAGGAGGAGCGCAGTGGGACAGGAGGAGGAGCGCAGTGGGACAGGATTGGGCGCAGCGGGGGAGGAGCGCAGTGGGACAGGAGGAGTGCAGAGGGACAAGTGGGGGGCAGCGTGATGGGGGACATGGCAGCAGGATCAGGGGGGTAGCGGGACAGGAGGAGTGAAGAGGGACAGGTGAGGGGCAGTGGGACAGGAGGAGTGCAGAGGGATGGGTGGGGGACAGCGTGACGGGGGCATGGGACAGGGGACAGGTTGGGGCAGCGGGACAGAGGAGGAACGCAGTGGGATAGGAGGAGGAGTGCAGTGGGACAGGAGGAGTGCAGAGGGACAGGTGAGGGGCAGTGGGACAGGAGGAGTGCAGAGGGACAAGTGGGGGGCAGCGTGATGGGGGCATGGCACAGGATCGGGGTGCGGGACAGGAGGAGTGAAGAGGGACAGGAGGGCAGTGGGACAGGAGGAGTGCAGAGGGACAACTGGGTGGGGGCAGCGTGACGGGGGCATGGGACAGGATTGGGGGGAGCGCAGGATTGGGACAGGTTGACAGGGGACAGGAGGAAGCGCAGTGGGACAGGAGGGCACAGAGGGACAGGAAGAGGGGCAGTGGGACAGGAGGAGTGCAGAGGGACAGGTGGGGTACAGCGGGACAGTGTCGGAGGCAGGGACAGGATTGGGGCAGCGGACAGGAGGAGCAGCGCAGGAGTGAGCGCCAGTGGGGACAGGAGGAGTGCAGGGGGACAGGAGGAGCCCAGAGGGACAGGTGAGGGGCAGTGGGACAGGAGGAGCCCAGAGAGACACAGGTGGGGGGGGACAGTGTGATGGGGGGCATGGGACAGGATCGGGGCAGCGGGACAGGAGGAGCGCAGAGGGACAGGTGGGGGCAGCGTGAACGGGGGGCATGGGACAGGATCGGGGGGAGTGAGGACAGGGGGAGAGGGACAGGGGGGGTCAGGGTCATGTGAAGACAGATGGGGGAGGGAGCTCAGTGGGACAATGTGGGGGACAGGAGGGGGAGAGTGGAACAGGTGTGGGGAAGGGTGACAGGGGGCAGGGGGGGCAGGGTGACAGGGGGCAGTGTGACGGATGGGGGGCAATGGGACGGGGAGGGAAGTAGAACAGTTGGGGGGCAGTGTGTTGGAGAAGCACCAGTTCTTCAAGCACTTACCTGTCCAGCAGCGGCTTTGCCAAATGGTGTCAAGATTACTTTAGGAGGGGTGCCTGTGTCCCATTCTCCCCCAGGATCTCCAGTGGCGTCTGCAAAACAGCGGGGGGCTCCTTCATCCTGACCTCATCCTCTTCTTCTTCTTCCTCCTCCGCTGGCACCTTCTGGCCTCCTCCTGGCACATACTGACAGCGGGACCCGGTCCTCATACGCTCCGAGCGCACACCAGGGATCCGCCCACCACTCCGCTCTCCTCTGCAGCTAGTCCCTTGACCCGGGTGACCCTCCTTGTGTGTCAGCTTGGCTTGCCTGTACCCCCACCCATGGCAGCCCTGCCGCTGACACACACAGTGTCCCTTCTGCCTGGAGGGCGTGCCGCCCCCCTGTAAACTGCCACCCTAGGCAAACGCCTTGTTTGCCTTGCGGCAGATACGCCCTGTCAATAAAAAGTGTGAAGATTCAGTTGGTACTAAAGCAGTATAGATATAATCTGCTCAGTATGACATCTTACCCCAGATTTAATGAGTAGTGTAACGAGACTAAAATCTTAATAGATAGCCATAGAAGATAAAGCAAAAGAAAAAAAATGAGATAAGAGAGAACAAACAGAGAAGTAGGAGGAAACAAAGTAGTAATTTGTCATCAGTGTAGCAAGTGTGAAACAGGTAGCTACATTTATGTATTTAGTATATTCATCCAGCAAAATATCTGAGTAATCCACAGATAATTGAAACATGTACCATGGTGTCCTTGTTTTATGAAATCTGGGGTTGGTCGTGTACCATGGTGTCCTTGTTTTATGAAATCTGGGGGTGGTCGTGTACCATGGTGTCCATGTTTTATGAAATCTGGGGGTGGTCATGTACCATGGTGTCCATGTTTTATGAAATCTGGGGGT